TAACTCCTATGTTAACTTAATAGTCACTCAAACTTAGTATGGAGCCTAAAAGGTATGAGTCGTCCGCCTGTTTTTAACAAACAGGGACTCTCAACCACTACTCTTGCTAGGTTAACAAATTATGAGTTAAAAGCCAACATTGGCAATAAAGGGAAACAACCGGTACCCGCCGCTTGTTATCCTACTTACTTAATTCCTTGGCGACTAGGTAATATTCTATTTACTTGGTCAGACCACTTTCCTACTTGGTTAAAATCACAAAAAGACAGGCACGCCTGCCTAAAAAGGATCCAGACAAAATAGTTCGAATACCGATTGAATAAATGGCCGACTGATCGTCTATCCTGGAAACAGACAACCAGTCGTCCAGGGGCATAGGCGGCGTACTAACTATCCGTACCTGTCTGCAACGTTCGGCCATGTACAACAGTTGGTCTAGTAAACAATGGGATATTAGATATGGAATACTTGGACAAATTTGAAGCAAAACAAAAATTCATTAAAAATAAGCCGGTCATTAAAGACCAGCAAAATATTCAAAGCCCCGGCCCCCTGGCCGGGTAAATACAAAGCAAACGGCACACAGGCCGTGGAAAAAATACATTAAGCTTAAGAAGGGGGCAGTTCAGTATTAGCAGCTGCCGCCTGGTCAGCACTCTTCTTGCTGGACTCGGCTTCAGCTGCATCCTCTTTTGATGCCTTACCCCCAAGTGGCACAAGCGCCACAACCGGCTCTTCCTCCTCCTCCAACGCATCTCCCAACGCCTCTTCTTCAGCAGCCGCCAGGATCTCTTGATTATATGTTTCCGAACACTGGCGGTACGTTCTTTCCCAAGAGGCAAAGTCGGCATTGGGGAACAGGCGGCCCCAGGTCATGCGCTGGATTTGAGCGGAGTCTTCCATCATCTCCCGGACGAGCTCTTTCTTCTCTTGCTCGGCCTTTTCCGAGAGCTCTTGGGTAAGACTCTTCTCTTGGCTCACCAGGCGTTCTTTTACGTTGGCCAAGGATTTCTCCATGGCTTCGTAAGAGTACATTTTTTGGCGAAGAGGTTTCAGCTCGGCCTTAAGATTTGTGATGGTCGCCTCCAGCTCGTCATTCTTCTTCTGGGCCGCCTCTAACTGAGCCCGAACAGCGGCGGTAGCCTGCGCCTGATAATAAAGAATATCAATGGTCAGTACTTCATTTTGGGCAATTTGAAACATTGCCTTATCACAGTTAGAGGCGGCCATAGCTTTTGCAGCCTTTACCTCTTTGTTTTTCCGATCAAGCGGCTTGCGAAGGCTGTTAACTCGGAGCAGGGCCTAAGTATAAAAAAAAAAAAAAACAGGCGTCAGTTTCCAAACAAAAAAGATAACAGGCGTCCTGGAATTCAAATACTCAAAAAGTATACCTCAGCAAGGACCCCTGCAATCCCATCAAGGTCAAGGGTGCCGGCACCCCTGACCGCCTCCCTTTCAGATGGAGGAACTACTTTGATCATGGACTTGGCTACCTCAACCAAGTCAAGCCCCTGAGGGCCGGCTGCATCAAGCGTAAAAAAGCAAGTTAGACCTAGTCAAGAAGGAAGCAAGTGTAAAAGTTTTTACAAGTAATTGTCCATACTTCTAGGCGGCCCCGCCGGGGTTTTAGAAGAAGTGGCCGGCTGCTTCTCAGCCGCCACTGTTTTCCTGGAAGACCCAGGAGAGCTTGCAACAGTCGTCCTCCGGGCCTTGGGGTCCGGCTGTTGCGAGGAAGAAGCTCTTGGAGTGCCCGACTGAAAATAAAAAGAGTTAGTATATGCATAAGACAACTCCTAAAAGAGGAAGAGTTTTCGAAGCCTACCAAGGGTGCCCCCTTGTTGGGGGAGTCGGTACAAGACTGTTGCATGAGAGAGGCCCGCAACATGGCCGCCGCAGTCTTGGATGCTGTTATTTTACTCATGGCGTCAGCTGCAAAAAATAAACAGCAAAGTTAGTAAAGATCCCAAGTAAACAAAGCGTGAAAAAACAGAGTATTTGTCAGGCCGGCTACCTCTAGAGCACCGACTGCTGAGGCCACAGGCGGCCAAAAAGTACTCGTCATAGAGCCACTTGAAGCTCGGGACGCAGTTTAGGGGTACTTGCTCTCGTACCCCTGAAGTAGAGTTCACCCTAGTCTCTACTTTGAAGAGTCCTTTGTCTAGGATCTCTTTTTTAGCCTTTGGGGGGAACAGGTGGCATGCTGCGGCCGCCTGCGAGAAGAGGCGGATCCTTATTCCACTTGTTAAAGCGTTGGTTTAGCTCCGTGTCTGAACCCTCGATGATAAGGAAGGTGTTCCGCCAATCCTTCCATTTGTTCGCCTTACCTCTCGTCATGAGGTAACCCCTATGGCTTGTTAATTGATACCAGCCGGTACCTCCCGATTTAGGGGTCCGGCTGAGATAGTTCATGTGGGCGAAAGCCTCAAAGCTTGGCTCCACCCCGTACATTTCGCACCCGGCCACATAGCCGAGTACGTTTACCCAAGAGTTGGGGGCTAACTGCCATAACCCCAAATCATACCCATCTAAAATCCGCTGAACAGCCGGATGTAATGGGAAGCGCAGTCCAGCTTTGATGGCCGCCACATAGCAGCCAAAGCAGCCGTCATCATAGCTGGTACCAGCCGGCCAGACGACAGTGACTTCTGGATCCGGCACGAACTGTAAAAATTCGGGGCCCATTCTGTGGTTAGCTATAAAGCTCTCCACTTTGTCTTGCATGGCTGCGATCCGGCCCCGGGGTACCGTGCAGTAGTAGGGGGTGTTTTCCTCTCTGTAAGAGGCGGACGGCTCCACCCAATTGTCCCCCTTCTCAACTGCATGAGAAAGCCTCGCCTCTTGTAGGCGGCTGTTTCTTTCTTCTGAGCCTGGAGAAGCGTGGCCAGAAGAGCTGGACTCGGACTCGTCCTCTGACGATTCCGAAGAGGACGACTCCTCCCCTCTCCCAGAGGGGCCCGCCTCCTCTCCCTTAGAAGGAGCAGGAGGAAAATTAGACATGTCAATGGTGAAATGGGAAGGGACCACCTTGACCCCTCTCTCAGAACTGCCGGCTGTCAAGCCGCTTTGCTTCACTTCTACATCTGGCGCCTGGTCAGATGTTTCACTAATGAGCACCCTTTGGGAGGAGCCGTCCGAGTTTGAGATCATAGCAGTCTTTTTTGTTCTGGCCATCACGTTCTGCATAGACACAGATACAGTCGGACTTTGTATAAAGGGCAAAGATGGGTCTAGAAAAGGGCAGGCGGCACTCCTAGTCCTAGATTCAGCCGTCCCCGGTGACCGGCTGATCACTAACTTAGGTCGTGTCGTGTGCTTCCGTGGTGCCATTTCAAAAAACAAAAAGAAAATTAAGAGTAAGAGAACTGAGTTACCTGAACGAGTGACGGTTGATGAAGTTCTGGAAATCCGGTGCAGTCGGCTTGTCAGAACAGGCGGTAGGCAGAAAAGGTCCGAAATGTCAGAGCAAGTTCAGGGGTCCGAATGTTCTCGCAAAGTTCTCAAATGTGAAAATGACCGAAGTCAGCACTTCCTTATATAGGCAAAGTGAGAAGGCGAAGGGTCGCTGCCAAATTCAAAATTTGGGCGGGAAAATCTCTCGACCATTTGCAAGGTGACACCTGTAGCAGGCCGTCGCCTGTCACCGTGCGGCAGCTGTCACAGGTGACACGTGACCAGTCACGTGCCACATGTGAGGGGCAAATGATTAGGGGATTTTTATCCACCAATCACCGTCTGACAAGTGGACCAACCAGGTTCCGCCACGTGTCCTTCACGTAGGCCAATAGGAGCCTGCCACGTGTTAATCACAGATACGTCCTCTACGGACCAATTGAGACACGCCACGTGTCCACCCATGCCAAATGGGAAAACCGGCCAACAAGGCCCAATCCTGTTTAGAGGCCCAGTCAGCCCTAGGTTTACCCTAAACCTAGAGAGTGGCACGCTTCTCAAGACTATAAATACTTAATTAATCCTCATTAAAGGGGATCAAGCAATTAATCTCACCTGAAGAACGGAACAGAACAGAAACGTTACGGAAGACACTAATAACCGGCTGATCTCGCTAACAAAGCAGATTACCTACATTAAACACTCTCACCTAGAGAGACCTTATTACTTTAATTTTCGTATTAATTACTCCTTAATCAGGTACTAACTTGACCGTTGGAGGCGGAGCTCTCAGGAGTCTCCGTTATTTTGCAGGTACAGGCGTCCGGTTCCAGTCTCGGAATTGTAACTCTCCCGCAGGACATCAGAAAACCCCGAAACAAGTAGAGCTAGCTTTTAATACAAATTACTTTTATCTTACACTATTTCAACCACTACATTGTCAGACACTCATATAATATATTTAATAATTTTCCTAAACTAGTTTAATTTGACATGGGACCACTCTATTTCGTATAGGTATTACCTAATAAGTTTTTAAAAACAAGCTAACTCCACCACTAAACATTACTTCAACCTATATCTACTTCATATTAATTGTTTTTTTTCGTAAACTAGTGTAATGAGAAGTGAACCTCCTCTACATATAGACAATATAGTTAGTTGATAAAAATACAGTACATATTTAATTTTTGATAAAAGCTACTGTTATCACTAAACACTATTTTTACCCCATACAATGGGGACTTGGGGCAACGGTACAAGGCAAATTTTTTTTTCTTCCTTTTAGACTTGTGTAATTTGACCAATGACCATTGACCAGTATTACATACAAGTAGCTACTGGGTAATAAATAGTACAACATTTATTATATTTTATTTATACTGTACAGTTTATACCCTACTTTTTGCATGTCCTTTTGTTCTTTGTGCATAAAACTTCACTGTTTATCTGCAACAAAGCTTTCATGTCAGATCACTGGAAAATTTTCACCATATAAATCCCTTATTTTCTGCGTTAATTATGTACAATTATTATCACCATCTTCATCTCCTTCTTTCTCGCTTAAACATTTGCTCTGCTTTTCTTCAACAGCTAGCTGCCTACAATTAATGGCCAAATATGCCAATATTGAGTCTCAAGATTATCTATTTTACTGTGGTAGAGTTAGAAAAATTGCTGTAAGAACTAAGCCTAGAGCTTTAAAAATCAGCAATTCCGAGGTTAAAGATCATAATATTGATGGGAAACTCAGGAAGTTTCATTCTGAAGATGGGTTTGCAACTGGTGAAATTTTTCTGGGGTCTAACAGTGAAATCACAAAAGCCCACCAAGTGTTCGATGAAATGTCTCATAAAGAAAAAACAGAGAAAAATATCATAATTCCTGCTAAAATTGTCACTAATTACACTAGTGCAATGAAGGGTACTACTACTAAAATGGGGTTTGAATCAAATTCTGGTATTGATGTTGTATATGAGAGGAGGAAGTTGCTTGAATCATTTAGGAAATCATGTCAGTATTACAGAAATCAAAGTGGGGGTTGTAGTAAGAGGATTGACTGTATGGCTTATGATGATCTTAAAGACAGTGGTGAGTTATTCATCATACACAAAACCTTTGGACCAATTCCGGGTGTCCAAGTCGGAGAATGTTTTGACTACAGATTTGAGCTTGTAATCATGGGCATTCACTACCATCATTATCGCGGCATTGATTACACGGAAACCTCGAATGGCCGGGTATTAGCAACTTCAGTTGTCGCGACTGAGGGGTATGGTGATGACTTGATGAAGCCGGATGAGTTGGTTTACACCGGAGAAGGTGGAGGTACATTTGATGGTACGAGTAAGGGAGAAGCTAAAGATCAAGAGCTTAGAGCTGGTAATTTAGCAATGAAGAATAGCGCGAATGATGGGAATTTTGTAAGGGTTATTCGAGGGATTAAGTCTAAGAGATATGATCTGAAATCTGCTACTACATTTGTGTATGATGGGTTGTATAATGTGGTTGATTATGCTAAAAAATTGGGTCCGAATGGAAAGATGCAGTACAAGTTTACATTGAAGAGATGTTCTGGTCAGAAAACCATTTCATGGGAGAAGTTCAAGTAGTTTGTGTGATTACATGAAAATGCTTCAGTAGTTTGTAGAGGAAAAAAGACAGGTTTTTGTGAATTAGAATTACAGTAATTATGTTGTAATGATAAGCAGTTAGGGTACATGATTAGTGCTAGTCACTAATTAGCTAGGTTGATTAAATGACTAGGGTATTAATGTAGTAATTAGCACGTATAAGTAAATTCTAGGAGTATTTTTTTTGGTATGTACTCCACTAATATAATGTATGTGAGTTAAGTATAAAATAGGGGACTCAATTGTTGCAAAATATGGAGAAAAGGGACTCAATTTATTTTATAGAGGAAAAGAGGACTGGGGTTAAATTTCCGATTAAAGGGGGTGTTTTCAGGTGACTTAACTCACCTTTAACTCAAGAAGAATTAAGTGGCCTCGATTAAACCAAATGAATTTAATCCCTTCATTAATCATTCTGGCTGATTGTCTTAAAAGTATAATTGTTTGAAATTAAGAGAGTGCAACAACAAAACAACAAAAAGCTTTTTTTTTTTTTTTTTTTTCAAAAAAAATATTTGCTATCCAAAAAAATAATTCTTTCAATAATAAATAAAACAAAAAAAAAAAAAAAAAAAAAAAGCAAAGCATGTTCTTCATCTTCACGGTCTGTAGCTTATTTGTCTTTCATTTGTAGCAGAAGCACACATCAGTACTATCAATCAAGGCTTGTAGAGCCCTGAAATTATAAACATTGACATTATAAGTACAAAATAAGTTGATATATACAGCAGCAAACATTAGCATATTAGCCCATTATAGCAAAAAAAAAAAAAAAAAAAAAAAAATAATCATGAGCATCCTACTTGCACCCATTTCCATCCCCAAACATTATCACTCAATGATTCTGCTTATTTTTTTTTCCGGAAAGATATCCAATGTTTCTGATAACATTGACAAAAAATAAAATTAAAAAATTTAAAACCCCAAAACAAGCAAAAGATACATCACCAAATCGTATATAACAAGAATTACAAAACAAAAACCATAATTCATCCCCATTTAAGGCATAATCAAAGTTTTAAAGAGTACTAATGCATGAATTTCACTAAGTACATAAACCCTACCAATTATGCTGGCAAACGAACAACCTAAAAATCCAAACAAATAAAACAATTAATTAGAAGAAATACGTACCTTTTGATGCTCTTTGCCGCAATTTCGTTGCAAAATTTCCAAATTTGGCTTTCATCCAAACCATTAAGGACAAAAGGAGAGCAATGAAAGCGACGATGCTCTACTTTTGTTCCCAAAAAGAGGCAGGGACTCAATTCTTTGCAAAGTAAAATATTATAAAAAAATATATATATATATATACTTTTTTATTATTGGTTAACTAAGGGGACTCAATTATTTAACCAAGGAGACTCAATTTTTTCCCTTAATTAATTAAAACCCACCGATAACCCAAGCCCGTTCTAGTCCAGTCATCTTTTCCTCTATAAAATAAATTGAGTCCCCTTTCTCCATATTTTGCAACAATTGAGTCCCCTATTTTATACTTAACTCTAATGTATGTCATCGTTGCTTGGACTGTGAATATAGTAATTCAGTCTTGACTTTTGGATATGAGTCAAGAGTTGTAGAAACCCGAATATATTTTTTTTGGTATGTAACTAATGTATGTCACAATTTCTAGCTTGATAACGATGTGAATATAAAGTAATGCATTATTAGCTTTTGGGTAGGGGTTGGTGTTGTTGTAGAAATTCAAAAGTAATTCACTAATTAAGATATTTTTAACTTTACTAATTACATTTTTTAAGTTCATCATAAACAATTTGGTAAAGCAACCTTAAATTCAAATTTTCAACACTAAGGTTTGTAAGAGAACTCCAACAGTAGCACTATATATGTACGTGTTTTAGAATAAAAAGGACAACATTTTCTAAAGATTAAAAGCTAAGATTTCTAGATTCAGTCAGACGTATAATCGTACGGTAATTCATAGCGAAAGGTTGGTGTCCACATTCCTGGCCAATACACTATAAATCTTATCCTGGCTTCAAGGGGAAACGATAATAATTTATAAGTCAAATGACTCAAATCTATGTATTTGGAAATAATAGTTGTGACGTTTTTAGGCTCTGACGGAATTTTTCTTTTTAAAAAAATCATTTTCCTAGAAAATGATTTTCTCATATTCCATTATTTATTTAGTAAAGGGATATAAAATAAGGAAATTTTGACAATTGCTACCAAGGAAATAACCTCGCTTCATATTTGCTATCGGTTTAAATTTTTTTGGGTTTTCTAAAATATGTACCTAAACTTCTTCGGTTTCTAAGCTGTGCCCATGCTTTTTCAAACGTCTAAATTGTGCCCCCAATCTCACTTTTTTAATTAGCAATAACCTTTGACGTTAACATTGATTAACGAACGTTAGGGTTCGTTAGTTGTCGTTGCTAGTTACTTATTAAAAACATAAATTAAAATTTTTTAAAAGATAAAAACATTAAAATTTTCTTTTACCACCAAACCCTAAGCCATCCCCTAAACTCAACGGGAAACCGACCGAAACTCCACCTTAACCACCTAAATCAGCCGACCGACACTCTACCTCCCCATTTGACCCACCCCCGACGCCCTCCCTTTCCCCTAACTTCCTTCGCATCTACCTTCTTTCTCGAAACCCCAACCACCCAACAACGCTTCTCCTTCCTTACCCCACCTGAAACAACCCCTAACTCCCTTTCCCACACCCCAAAACGACGAGGGAGGGTCGTTTTGAGGTGGGGGAAAGGGATTGTTGGCTGCTTCGTGGTGGTTTAACGGAGGAAAGGGGGTGGTCGATTTTCTAGGCTAGGTTGCGTCACGTGGTTATGTTCGTGGAGTGTTAAGGTTGGAAGGAGGGCGAGAGGGAAAGGGCGGAGTATCGCCGACGGGAGAATTTGTCTGGGTAAGGGTGGGCAGTCGGTTGCCGATGGCGATGACGTGGGATGATGGGCTGGGATGTGGTGATGGGAGGGGTGGTTGGTTGTTTTTCTAATTAATCCTTAATTATTTGATTTTCTGATTTTTTTTAAGTGTAAGACAAATTAGAACAAAACAAGTGTCAAATTAATAGCGCAACTTAACTTTCGTTGACGAATAGGGCTGTCAAAGGATATTGTAGATAAAATATCGTGACGTGGAGGGCACAACTTATAATTTTGAAAAAGCATGGGTACAACTTAAAAATTCAATAACTTGGGAGGCATAGTTTAGAAAAACCCAATTTATTTATTTATTTATATTTTTTTTAATTTGCTACCACCTAAATCACACTTTGTTAAAAATAACTACCACTTAACCGAATTTGTTAAGGTTCCGTTAAGTGGGACCTAATATTTTCATTAAATAATAATTTAATTTATTAAAAAAAACAAAAACTTACAAAAATTATTCCCAACCACCACACCTTCCCCGGCCCTCCCCATCAACCAACTTCCCTTCCCCATTGACCACCTTCTCCCCTCCCCTTGCCAGTGCCTAACGTTCCCCTGACGCCGGCGAACCCATCCACCTCCATTCCTCCCTGCCAACCACCTCTAAACTCGGGCTTCGCCTCGGGAACTCCTTCGCGCGACACCACTATTCTCCCTTAGCCCCTAAACAACAATTCACCATCGCAAAACCCCTTTCCCTCCCACGAATCCTTAGAAAAACCTCTCCCCTACCTATGAAAACTCTCAATCGCTCTTAGGGAGGTTTTAGGGGTAGATGACGGATTTTTCTAGGGTTTTGTGGGAAGGAAAAGGCCTTCGGGTAGGGCGGAGGAGCCGGTCGCTGGCGAGAGGAATGGGCTGGCCGGCAAGAGGAGGGGGTGAAAGTGATGTGTTTTAACCTTTGGGGGCAGCGTTGATAAGGGGAAAATTAAAGGGAGGTGGTTGAAGGTGGCAGTGAGGTGGATGGACGGTGGTTGAGCCCCACTAACGGAAATAGTAACGGTGTAAAACATCAGGTAGTTATTTTTAACAAACTCTGATTATGTGGATAGCAAAGTCAAAAATAATAATAATAAATAAATAACCAGTAGCAAATGTAAAGCGAGGTGTTTTTCTGATAGCAAATGTCAAAATTTCAATAAAATAATTTTGCAAACAGTAAAAATAGTTCACCCAAGAATAGAATACTTTTTCCTTTTGCAAGGAAGGTAGCCACATTTTTTACATTCTCTTTACATCCTTCACCTCTCCCAATTCATCCATCTTCTCCCTACTACTCGCATGTTCCCTTCCCATATAATTTTTCTGAAAGGAAAAAAATAATAAAATTTGTCAAGAATAACACTACATTTAAGCCATCTTCCATTAATAGAACCACCTTTGAACTATCTCAAAATATCGCGACATGTGACATAAGTCTTCTATAAGTAAAACCAAATACCAATAACATGTTTTATAGGTTACATGGGAAATATATATATATATATATATATATATATATATATATATATATATATATATATATATATATATATATATATTTATATTTATATATTTATATATTGTGATTGGTTAAGAATTTTTTTAACATCTTTCTTTAATAATATTGTTTAATTTTTTTTTTTTAAAAAAAACTTAAATTAAAAAAATCTTATTCCTTGACATTGAACAACCCCCTTTTTTTTTATTCAGGCCTCCTTCCGGAGAACCTGCCCACCCTAGGATTGGCGAACCTAAGACCTAGACCTCATATTGGAGGTGGTTTGTGGGTTTAAGGGAGTAGGGGAGGTGGATTTCAAGTGGTTGCGGGGTGGTTTCAAGGACCACAGGGTGGTTAAGGGGGCTGAGGGTGGTTTTGGGAGATGTATGGTGGGTTTCGGTGCTTGTTTTGATGGGTTTAAAGCCCAGTTAATTGGAGAGAGTGGAAGTGATGTGAATGAAAGAGAATATGATGTGTTAATTGGAGAAAAAAAAGAAAGAATATAGGAAAGGATGTATTCATCCTCCTCATTGTTGATGCTCTTAAGAGAATCTTTTCCCCCTCTTGCACATTAA